CACAGGGGACATGTCCTCGGCGATCGGATGTGATCGGTACCCAACAGTCTAGTGGTAGAGTATCTCAAGAGGAGTTGTGGGTAGTGGTTAGAGGGAAGGATGGGGATAGGACTCCTACTGTTGATCCTACTGTGGACAAAGGGAGTATTGATGTGCTTAAGGAGGTTGATAAGCATGAGGGAGCAGTCCTTGGGGTGGAGGTGATGGTTGAGGAACAACAACAGCAATCATCACGGCCTACACACGATGATGTATGCCCTCCTACGACTAGAGCGGCGGCCATAACATCCTTCCTATCTGGGGAGGTAGTACTACGTAGATTAGTCTGAGGTAGTGTACTGCCTATTCAGGATAGAGCCCATAGGGATGAGTCAGTGATGGGGAGGGGGGTCGATGGGTTATCTCTATCATTACTGAGTTATCCATCTGACGATACTAGAGATAGTATAGAGCAACTGGTAAGGAGAGGGATGTGCTCATGGTGTGAGGAAATACATACTTAGATTCGACAATATGAGATGCCATCTCTTGAGAAGGAGGAGCCAATGGTGATGATTGAGGGAGAGGATGATTGGAAAGCACAATTGGATAATCTAAAGAAGGAATTGGATGAGGTCATATCCTATTAACATCTCTGACAAGATCATTGACAAGCAGATATATGCCTCATTCGCTGATACATCACGTTTGGACAATTCCGATATATCAGCAGCAGCAGCAGCAGATGACGGTAAGGGAAGTATCAAGGGCAGTGCAGAAGTAATAGCTGATATCAACCAACTGAGGAGATGTTGTTGCATTTAGATATCCGATACTACACTTATGTTATCAGAAGGAGACTCTACCTCCTTCACTAGTACTGAGCTAGCAGCTGCTATCGCTGAGGTTACTGCTGGGATATCTGGTCACTCCTACCTTGGTGGTGAATCATTTGATGTGGACTTGTCAGCATTCGATATATCAACTATTTAGTATTTGCTGCTCATTCTCACATAGACAATCGCATGGTATAATTAAAAGCACTATTGTCATCATCATCCACCATTGATTTATCTTGTACATGGTATGGCAGTGGTATGTCTATGAGCTACTAACTCTATGAGCTTGTGTTCATATATTCT